CATGTATCACTATAGTATGCAGTTGTGTAGTATGAAACTGTGACTATGGCTATGAAAAGCCAATGCATATGGTTGTGAGTATATATGTTTGTGATGAATTATTTTGTAGGATAAGTTGCAAGAACTGTTAGCCCATTACGCGAGTAATTCATGTCTAAATTTTATTTGGGTAAATTTTGATAATTAATGTAACACCCGAGATAAATTCCGCTACAATTGTATGAACAATATGATTAGGCAAAACGTATAGGGTAGGGTGTTACATTTCCACCCTCTAGGTTAATTTCACCCAATATTGAGTTAAAGCAAGCACACTCAATCATTCATGAATAATACCTCAAATATTATATAAAACACTCAATCAACACAAAAGGTTCATGTTATTACATCCTAACACATATAGAGATTAGGATTCACAATACCCAAGTGAGTAGATAGGCTATTCCATAGCTAAACAAGAGAAAACAACAAAAAGGAGAGAAATAACAATGAAGTGATGTCAATCTTTCCTCCTGGGATTTTCACTTTCGCGCGCTAGAAGAAACCCTAGCCTCTCACTAGAATCCTCTTTATTCTGAAAATGAAAACCTAACCTAAAAATAAAGCTCTCTTACTTCTTCCTTTCAACTCACATTTTATACCAGGATCAGGCTCAGCTTACGACTTCAGTTCACGGCCGTGAACTCTTCAACGCGTCCGTGAACACAGAGCGCGATGGCAAAACGCGCCGCTTTGCCATCAGGAGTTTGCGGTTTGGCCTCAATCTTCACGGTCTTATTGACCATGAACTAGTCTCGCGGTAGTAACTGCAAAATTCTCCCTGGACGCCTCGCGGTTCATGATTTACGGCTTCAGTTCACGGCCTTAGGAGACCATGAACTCCAATGAGAAACTGTGAACATCGCCTGAAACCTGGACGTCTGCACTTCACTGTTACGGGGCAATTGGCACGGTACTTTAGACTTTTCTTCTGTTTTTGCGCTTTTTGACATCCAAACTCGTCCTCGACCCTTCCACACGTGCTAGGACCTTAAATGTATCAAAACAAGCACAACCTAGCGTGAAATATGTCGAGGAACGAAGAAATGGAAAGCCAAACTATCAAGAAATGAGGGTTAAAATGTCAACATTTGGACCCAAATCACACCCCCACACTTGAACGTTTGCTTGTCCCAAAGCAAACCATTTTCAACCTAGGTAATATTTCAACCTACATTTGGGCATCGTGATTCGGGCCTAATTGTACATGTTTTGCCCCTGTTTTCCTTAGTCGTTTGTGGCATTTTCGTTCCTAAAAGAGTGGTTTTACGCTAAGATGGTTTCTACCTCTTCTCCTTGTGTTTCTCCCAAGAGAAGTTCAGCACAAGGGTCTAGAAGATTGGAAGCCTCCCCCAAGATGGTTTCTACCTCTTCTCCTTGTGTTTCTCCCATTTCTGGCATGGAGTAGATTTCTTTTCACTTGGGTGTTGTGAAACCCTAACTAGCTACCATGCAGTTTCTTTTATGTGAATTGAATGATTGTCATTGGGTATTGTTTAATTCAATGATTGAGGTATTATTCATGTGATTGTGCATGCTTGTGCTTAGAAATCTAAGGATTGTGCATGTTTGTGCTTAGCATCCTTAGGTTTGTGCATGTTGGTGCTTAGCAACCTAAGGATTGTGCATAATTGTGATTAGCATCCTTAGGTTTGTGCATGTTGGTGCTTAGCAATCTAATTAGCCACTTTAACCTATATTAGAGAGGAAAATCCCCCTTCCAAGGGAGACTCAATCGAGTTGGTTTTCCTTTAGGTTTTCAAGCCACCTAACTAGGTTGATTTAGGGCAAACCTCAATGTTGAATTAAGCAAAATGGTTAAGCTTGATTAAGCCGTCCAACCCTTGAGTTGAGTGAGGGAGTAAGTCAACCACCGATCTCTTAAACCGAGAGGGCCGAGTGACACGGCCTATAATGTATGCCTCGGTTTAGCGATCGAGAATTTGGTATATGACCATATTTGCATCCCTCTGCGGTTCGCGATTACCTTGCCCATGGCAATCATTTCAATTCACATACCATGGTAGTAGTTAGGGGGAAGCGACACCCGAGTGATCCTTCTCACAAAGAACTTTCAAAACCATTTACCTTTGCCCTATTTTATTTTAATTAGCAAACTTTTTAACAAAAACTTTTTTGCTAGATAATGATTCAAAAGACTGAAGTACGGGTACACGAACCGGCTCGGGTTGATATTTAAACATACTTATCCTATACTGCACCCGACTAAGGTTTATACTTGGACCTTAGGCGGAAAATTATTGTGGTATTCGGGGAGAGTCAAGTTCTTGGCGCCGTTGACGGGTAACAACGATCTGTTATCTTGAAAAAGTTGGTGTTAATCTAGCTTTCAATTTTCAGTTTTGAAAGTGTGTGTGCTTTGCTTGTGCTAGAAGAGGACGAGACCTTGAGGGATTCTTGGGAGAGGTACTCTGACTATTTTCTTCAGTGCCCTCACCACGGGTTTGAAGAACAGTTTCGGATCAAAACCTTCTACGGAGGCCTAATGCAAGAAGATAAAATCCTCATTGAATCCTTGTGTCAAGGGAAATTGATGAATATGGCTCCGCCCCAAATAACCGAGATACTTGAAGACATGGCCCTCAAGGGATACGATTGGGGGTTGACTAGATGTGGGAGGAGAACAATGAAAGGGGAGTGAGAAGCGTGGGAGCGAGTGCTCCGCTTGAGGCGAAGTTGGATAAGTTGATAGAGGTTATGCTTGAGGATAAGTGGCAAAGAAAAAGGGCGATGATGTCGTGCGGCTGGTGCTCGAGCACTAGCATGAGATGGGGGAGTGTCAAGCAATGAAGGAAGCAACCGCCCCGGAGGAACAAGTCAACTTCGTGGCAAATGTAAGGGCTAACAACCCGTATAGCAATACTTATAACCCCGGATGGAGGAACCAACCAAATTTTGCTTGGACATCACCGACGAATCCGAGGCCCCCAGGTTTTCAAGGCCCCACGGGAAATTTCCAACCTCGGCCGACCTTCATCCAACGAAGGCCCCAAGTTCAAGGCTCAAGTTTCCAACAACCGTACCAAGCACAAGGTGGTCTAGGGTTTCAACAACAACAACAACCTGACAAGCTATCTAAGCTTTAAGACCTAGTGAACACCTTAGTGAGTACGAGTAGCCAAAAGTTCGAGAAGATTGAGCAATTTATGGATGTGGCAACTACCAAGTTTACCTTGGTTAAGGCGGGTCTCCGATAGGGATGAGAAACCTAACTGGAATTTAGGGTACCCGCCCGAAACCGGGCCGGTCAAACCGGGCAGAATCCGCTTTGACCGGATAGCGGGTCGGGGACGGGGAAATTCGACTTTGGTGAGCTACGGTGATGGGGCGGTCACAGATTCCTTACTATCCGCCCCGATCACCGATCCGTACCCGCCCCGATCTCCCCAAATCCCTTAGTCCTTTCCATATTTTATATTATCAATCGTGACTCGTGATTCCACTGATGTTAGGAGCCAACTAGTCTATCACCTTCCCGATTCTCCCAAAGAGTCTTCAATATCGACGATGCTTCTTTCCAATTATCACCTTCGTGTGATCATCCGGAGGCTTATAGATGCAAAAATCAATCCCACAATTGCCTTAATCCCAATATCAGTTCATATATCCCCCGGGAATTTTTTCGATTTCCTGCATTATCTACCCAAAATCTTTCCCAATTTCTCTAAACCCTAATCGCGATGCATGCCTTCCATCCTAGCACTAGCAGGTATAAATACCTGCACACAACTTCAATTTTCACTCATCGATCGTAGCCTCCCTCCAAGCTTCAATCCTCTGGCTCGCATTCCCAATTTCCCAACGGCAAACAGCAACAGTGGCAATTGGCAAAGCAAATTCAGAGACCCAGCAAGGACTCGAGGTGGCCAGGTGGGTTTCTTACTTCCTTTTCTTCTTTGCGAATAAGTTTTCTTAGATTCTGATGTTCTGTAATTATATCCTTGAGTTGGTTTTGTGTAATTAATCGATGCTCTCTGTGTGTCGTATGTGTAGTGGGTGATAGAAGAATAAATTCAACATTAGCAGAGAGAACTCGTGGTGGCCTGGTGGGTTTCTTTTCTCATTTTCATCCACGTAGGGTTTCTTTTATTTGCAAATGAAGTATGCTAGTTATCTTAATACATGCTTTGTGTCTGTGTGTTATTTGTGCAGTGGGTGATAGAAGTAGCTGTAATTATATGGTGGAAGTGGTTCTGTAATTGTGAGAAGTCGATTGAGCACTAGCACTCGAGGTGGGTTTATTTTCCAATTTCAAATCTTGTTTATGTGGTTCCGTAATTATATAGTTGACGTGGTTTTCTTTCTCAATTTCTATTTAGTACTGGTAGTTATCTTAGTCTATGCTCTGTGTCCGTATTCCATGTGTGCAGTGAGCTACTGTGAAAAGCAACTGCAATGTCTGACGTACCACCGCAAAACCAAGGTCTCCAACAACCCATCGCACCTGCAATTGTGAATGGAAATCATGCTGGAGAGGTGGCAGCTGCTGTTCAACCTCAAAATGGAGAAGCAGCTCCACAACCTCCTCCTGCCCCTCTTGTTATTGATGAGGAGGTAATTGGTGTACCCAAGCTTAAGAGTCTGGTTTGGAAACATTTCAAAAAGATTAAGGTCAATAATCTGTGGAAGGCTAAGTGCAACTATTGTGGAAAACTATTAGGAGGGGATTCTAGTAATGGTACCTCTCATTTGAAAAATCATACATCTAGTTGTCTCCATAGGAAGATTCATGAAGGCAGTCAAAAGATTTTGGGCCTAACTATATGGCTAAAGGAAGGAAGGATTTGCTTGCTTCTGCTTTTGATGCTATTACTTCGTAGAAAGAACTTGCTGTAGCTATCATAATGCATGAATACCCTCTCTCGATGGTTGATCATCTCTATTTCAAGAGGTTTGTGTGCTCGCTTCAACCCATGTTTAGTGTTCCTAGTAGGAACACTATGAAAAAAGAGATACTCTGTGTTTATGAGAATGAGAGGAAGAAAATTTAGAAGGTAATTGATGAGAACAAAGGTAGAATTGCTATTACAACCGATCTATGGACTGCAAGTAACCAAAAGAAAGGTTACATGGTTGTAACGGCGCACTATATTAACAATTCGTGGACTTTAAGGAGTCATATGCTCAGGTAAACTAGTTCATTTAAATTTATGGATTTTTAACTATGCCTTTGCAATTGATAGACATTTGATCCTTTGTTCTTGCCTTTGTTTTTTTTACAGGTTCATCTATGTGCCTGCTCCCCATTCTAGTGAGAGAATTGCATCTGTCTTCGTCAATTGCATGCTCGATTGGAATATCGACACAAAGGTATCCACTATCACATTGGATAACTGTAGCACAAACGATGCAATGATTTCCAAAATTAAGAAAAAATTGGTCTTATCTTATCTGTTGAGGGAAGGTGCACTTCTTCATATGCGGTGTTCGGCTCATATATTGAATTTGATAGTCAAAGATGGGTTAGATGTTGTGAAGGATGGTATTGAAAAAATCAGGAATAGTGTGTCTTATTGGTTGGCCACACCAAAGAGATTGGAGTTTTTCCAAGAGACTAGTAAACAGTTGCGTGTTCCATGTGAGAAGAGACTGGTTTTGGACTGCCCTACAAGGTGGAATTCAACATTTCTAATGCTCTCCATTTCTATTCCTTACAAAGAAGTGTTTAATAGGCTGAAACAACGTGATCCTCTATATGATTGTTTGCCTTCCAGTGATGATTGGTTGTTTGCTTCGATTATATGTGAGAAGCTCCATTGTTTTACTCTGGTTTCTGACCTGTTTTCGGGGTCCAAATATCCTACTGCCAACTTGTTTTTTCCTCGCATTTGTGATTTGAGGATTAAAATATGTGAATGGATGTTTGATTCGAATGAGGTTGTTCAACATATGGCTGAATCGATGTGGGCAAAGTTCACCAAATATTGGGAAGTGATTCAACAGATTTTGGCAGTTGCTGTTATTTTAGACCCACGGTATAAACTTGACATTGTCGAGTATTATGCTGAAAAATTGGGTCTAGATGGTAGTTCATCATTGAGTGCTACTGAAATTAGAGGAATTTTAGGAGATTTGGTGGTTGAATACCAATCAAGGGTGAATGGTAACAATCTTGCTGCTGTTGGGAATGATCTGGCTGCAATGTCCACTACTACAAATCAGGGTTTTGACTTGTTTGTTAGTCGAAGGAAGAAGTCTAGGACTTTATCTGTTACAGCGGAGTTAGAGGCTTATTTGAATGAAGAGATCCTTCCTCGTACACCTGATTTTGATATACTAATATGGTGGAAGATTAATGGTCCTAAATACCCGATCTTGCAAGAGATTGCAAAAGACATTCTTGCTATTCCTGTCACTTCTGTTGCATCGGAGTCAGCCTTTAGCTCTGGAGGTCGATTATTATATCCTCATAGGAGCAGGCTGCATCAATCAACGGTCGAAGCTCTAATGTGCACGAGGACTTGGCTGCAAGATAATGGTAATTGCTATCTTTAGTTTGTTTTAGTACGTTCATTAGTCATTATCTCTACTTTCTGTTGCTACTGATTTAATTCTTTGTTGCATGCTGTTTTTTTTTCCAAGTAGAGGAGAGTCGTGATGATGATGTAGGGAATCTAGAGGGTTGCTTTTCTTTATTGGGTGAAGCTCGCATGGTTAAAGCTGAGGCACTAAGTGAATGTGCAATTCTGGAAGGTTTTTGCAATTAAGCTTCCTTCATTTTCTTATATTAGCTTTTCTTATATTAGTGCTACTAATAATTATATCACTTGTGCATTTATAATGTAGACAATGCTCCAAGGAACAACACATACAACCTAGAGGATGTGGACTAACTTCTAGGCGCAGGATCTTGCGCTTTAGTGGTGAGTTTTTTTGAAGAATGGCTTTGAGTTGCTACTGAGTTTATGGTATTATAACAGCTAAAACTAAAGAACTATGGAATTCATTTTGCTGCTGTGGAATTCATTTTGTTGGTGTGAGAAGAATTTATTTTGTTGAGATAATGACTATTTGCAGGTCTGATGTTGTCTGGGTCATTGTGTGCTACTGTCGAGTTCATTTTGCTGCTGCTGGGTGTCTTTCTTTTGTTGCTGAGTTGAGAGGATGGTTGCAGACTGTTGCTCTCTTGCTTGTTGCCGTTTTCTGCTGCTGAGGAGTGAATTGGTGCTGGCGCTCTGTTGCTGCTGAAGGCTGGAGGTGGCTTGCTGTTGCTGCTGAAGGATGGAGGTGGCTTGCTATTGCTGTTGAAGACTTGAGCTGCCTTGTTGCAGTTGCTGCTGAAGGATGATGCGGCTGGCTCTTTTTTGCTTACTTTTGTTTTCCAGTTTAGAATTGATTGGGATTGGACAAGTTTCCAGCTTAGTCGTGATTGGGATTTGGATTGAAATTGCTTTTACTTTGCTTGAGTTGCTGGAATTTAGCATCTTAGTCTGCCGATTGGGATTGGATATTTAGATTTGCTATGCTATTGAAAGTTGGTTTTTATTTATTCAGGTATAGTTTTTTTTTTCTCTATTAAATTCTAGTCTCTGTTATGCACTTTCATTTTATTATTGGTGGGATCTTCAACCCGTGGAGGACTAACGGGCGGGGTTCGGATTCAGGGAAACCATCCCCGATCCGCCCCGTTGCCAACCATAGTCTCCGAAGCCATCAAGCGAGCCTTCAAAGCTTGGAGGTGCAAATCGGAAACCTTTCCAGCATCCTCCCTGAGTGACCTGAGGGAGCTTTACCTACCCAAAGCAGGGTAAATGCACTTCAAGTGAGGAGTGTGAAGGTGGTTCTAGAAGTCGCCACTAATGAAGTGATGGAGAAGGAAGATACCAACAAGGAAGAAGCCAACCCGAAGAAGGGAGAGAAGAGGCCCTCGAGGAATGAGAGGAAGGCAGCAAGGAAGGCATCGCCGGTTGGGGAGTACACGCCACCTCTTCCTTATCCCACAAGGATGTACAAGGAGAGGTTGGAGAACGAGTGTGGAGGTTTCATGGAAATGCTCCGCAACCTCCACTGATAGACCATTGATTGCACATGTTTTTACCCCTATTCTTGAGCCGTTGGAGATGTTGATTCTCGTGTTTTAAGCCGATTTCACGCTAGGTTGTGTGTTTATGTCATATTTCAGGGCTTGGCGTTGACGTTGAGGCGAAGAAACAAGTTTCGGGTCAAAAGGAGGACGTTTGAGTTGAAGGGTGCTGGAGGAGCAAAATACCAGACCATGATAAAAAAATACCTGGCCGGGTAAAATTCCATGGAGGCCGGGGAAAACGCTTTTGGAAGATGAGAAACAGAATGGGGTATTAAGGGCGTCATCGCTGCGCGGCGTTTCGAAATCCCCGGCCGGGCACTCGAAATACCCGACCGAGGATTATGGCCGGGATCGCGAGCAGCTGTTTTTTAAGGGAAAGAAGGCCAATTGTGAAGGGGTTACGAGTTTTAGAGAAAGAAAGTGATACCTAGAGAGAGAGCGAAGAACCAAAGGTCCCAAGCGCCTTAGATCGATCTTCATCATCAGTGGAGCTCGGATAACGCTTGGAGAAGTGCCGATTGCCGACCAGAAGCAGAACCCCATTCTTCACAGCATGATTTCTGCTTCCGAGCTAGAGTTTGCTTCTCTCTCCATGGAGTAACTTCCACATTCACCTGGGTATGAAGAACCCTAGATTTATATGTTAGGTCTGATTGTATGAACCCAAGTATGAATCCATTGATTTGATTATATTCAATTGAGGTCTGATTTGTTGAATGGCATGAATCCTGATCAAATTCCTGTTGTTTCTGCTTTGAACTAGAAAGAGAATATCTGCCTAGGTTGATATAGCACCCTTGATTGAAGGTATTGAAATGACGACTTTAGTCGAGGAGTCAGTTCACTATCCTGTACCGGATTTACTTCCGTAGTGGAGGTTTGGTTTGTTAGGGCCTCAATCTGTTTACTTCGGTGGAGGTTAGTCACCTGTTGGGGACTCAGATTGAGAGGGTCTGGAGACCTTTAGTCGAGACTGCAGACTGCATAAGAACCTCTCGCTGTATAATTATCTTTGAATTCGAACTTGGTAAATTACATTCTGGCTTAACTGCAGTCTAGGGGGAACCATATTCGGGTGACCTCTCTCAACTTGAAAACAACCTTTTACTGCTTTGCTTCTTTGTTTGTTTGGACCTTCACTACACTTTCACTTCTAAATAATAAGAATTCACGGAGTATTCATCACACTTGGGACCCGGGTTGACATTAAAACCCAAATCCGCTATACTACGCTCTAGTAGGTGGTTACACTTGGCCATTTTCTAGTGTGACAGTAGAGGCGAGCCAAGTTTTTGGCGTCGTTGTCGGGGATAGCTAGGTTGTTGAGGAAATGTGATTTCTAATACTTTGGCATTTCCATTTCCGCATTGACTGTTTGTTTTTTTTCCACTTGTGCCTTCACGGGTTTGCTTGCTTGACTGTGTGCAGGTAGTGCATGACTCGTAGCCAGTCGGGAGGTTTACTGCCATTAGATCCGGAGCTTGAACGCACCTGTCGCCAACTAAGGAGACAATAGCGAGCAAGACTGGCTACGGATGATCGCATTGACGGCCACTTGAGCAGCGATTCTGAGGAAGAGTACGAGATGGACGATGCACAAAACCCACCCCAGGGGATGCCTCTCCAGGTTCCCCCAGTGAATAAGATCCTAGTGAACAACCCAATACCCCAGGCAGATGGGGTTCAACATCAACCACCGCCGCCGGGTCCCACCATGGAGTATTATTACACTCCACGGGTCGCTGACATCCGCCCCGTCATCCTCTATCCGCCCATTCCAGCGAACAACTTCAAGATCAAGCCAGGATGGATTCAACTGATTACATCCTCTATCCAGTTTCATGGCTTGAAGGATGAGGAGGCAAGAGTGCACCTTTCCCGATTCCTACAGCTGACTCACGAGTTCAAGATGAATGGTGTACTCGATGATGCGATCCGTCTTCACCTCTTTCCCCATTCTCTGGTGGGGCATGCGAAGAGGTGGTTAGAGACCCAGCCCCCACTGTCCATCACATCGTGGGACGACCTGGCCAACAAGTTCGTGCACAAGTATTATCCGGCATCGAAGACTACAGAGATTCAGCGAGAGATCACTCATTTCCGGCAAGAGCCAGATGAATCCCTTCGTGATGCATGGGAGCGGTACTCGGGATTTTTCTGGCAGTGTCCCCATCACGGCTTCAGTGATGCATTCACCATAGGGAACTTCTACAGGGCTCTCTCTTCGGAAAGGCAGAGGGTGATTGAGTCTCTATGCCCAGGAGGAGACATTCTCACTAAGACTCCACCCGAGTTAAACCAGATGATTAGTACCTTGGCTGCCAGAGATCACTCCTGGGGGCAGAGCACCAGAGGCAGGAATTCCCAGGATCGTGGTGTACACGCCATGGAGTCCAGGTCCGAGCTAGAGCAAGAGGTGGCCGAGTGGTGCAGACATTGAAGCAGCCCAACAATCTTATTCCGGGCAGAGGGCTGGCCGGGCCCTCAGTTTCACAGTGCTAGTGGTGTGAGAGCTCTAATCATATGGGGGAAGACTGCCAGGCTATGAGGGAGTCTTCTACACCCCAGGAGCAGTTGGCCTTTGATAGGGCAAAAGCGTATATGCCTTAATCCTATCTTGTAGTAAACCGGAAAGTCCGGGTATCGTCTCTCAGGGACTGATACAACCTAAAGTTTTATCAATTTATGG